AGGAAGAAAGAAAGAAAGACCTGGGGGTAACTACAAAGGAGCTACAGTAATCCATATAATCCACATCAGAAAGAGGTCCCCTCAAAACAGAAAATATGAAATGGAAAATCAGATTCCCAAATGGTTCATTTCCCAGAATTTGCAAACAGCCTGTTTTCTCTCAATTTCCTTTTCGAGAGGTATTCAAAGTCTACCAGCTTCTCACAAACACTTTCATCTTAAAAGCTAGCATGTACCTAAGAGTTAACACTCTTTCCTGACCTGGAAGATAAGCACTCAGCATAGACAGGACAGAAGATGCTCTGCTGCCATCTATCTACCCGAGAGGGTACCGGAAAAAGAAGGCAGAACCTTCCCACTGCTCTCAGGACAAAAGCATGTATGTGATCAAGGTCAAGCACACACATGCTGCATTCAGGATGCACAGTCACATTAACTGCAAAGGAGCCCAGGGCCTCTGGGGTCTTTAACTGCACATCTCAAGCAGGAAGAGGGTAGAAGGTGGATGAGACACGGTTGACACTACAGCTGTCCACATATACTCAAAAGCAGGACACAGGAAAAGTTAAAGGGGTATGAAGAATGTCCCAAGAAAAATACATATGGACTAGAATCACTGCTAAGGTCAATGTGATAATAGTGACTTCCCTACTGGTAAGTAAAAAAAAAAAAAAAAAGTAACTTTTTACAATGTCGTCTTCAAAAGAACATCCATAAAAAGAACAGGGTACTATTTATTGCCCAGTTCAACAATACCAGTAGTCAGTATTTTAGAGTAGATTTAACATCAAATTTGACCATTCCACTACTTTAAGTTTCCTTGTCTCACTGTTGTTCTTCTTTCTGTTTTGCTTATCTCTATCTACCTCACTATAAAGTCTGTCCAGAACCCACAGTACTCAAACCTTAGGGCCGCATAAGTTTTCAAACTTTACAGAACTCTATTTACACAGATTAGGGCACCAGCAATAATTAGAATCATTTGAGAAGAAACCATTAGAAAGCCTTACTGCCGACACCTGTGAGTCCTTTGTGTCAATCTAAGCTTCCCAATGTACCAAACTCTGTTTTCAGCCACAGCTCCCAAGTAATGGCATGGAGACTTATTAGTAATTATGAAAGCTTGGCCTAGCTTAGGCTTGTCCCATTAGCTCTTACAATTTAAATTAACCCATTTATTTTAATCTATGCTCTCCTCATGGCTTTTGACCTTTCTTTATTCTGTATGTTCAACTCTCTCCATGTCTTGTTGGCATCTGACAGATGCCTAGATTCATTTCCTACTTCCTCTCTCTCTGCCCAGATGTCCCACCTATACCTCCTGCCTAGCTACTGGCCATTCAGCCTTTTATTACACCAATTCCAGCAATACATTTTCAACAGTGTATAAATATCCCACAACATCCCTGAAAAGACAGATAAATCCAATCCATGAACAGCTATGCAACACGGGGAACAGCAGTCACTCTAGAAACCCAGCTAGAACTTAGGCTGAGATCCCAGAGCAGAGACACCAAGGGTGCTGTGGCTTCTGCACTGCTTGCTAGTTTGCAAGGGAAGGACACTGGAAAACAATCTACAAACAACAGCTACCTCAGCACTTCAGCTGAAACCCCAGAAGGATACAAAGAGTAATGGAAAATTTAAACTAGTCCTTCATAAAACTTTGCAACCAAAAAGCCTACAAAATACAGATGCAGTAAGTATGATCTCCTAAACAGTTGCTACACTAAGCCCAATTCAGTATGAGAAAAACATGTCATCTGATTGGGTCAAGATGAGCATTCTCCTTTATCTCATAATGAAAACAAAAGAGTAAACTAAATCTGGAGTTAGAACACATCAACCACATTCACAAGTGGCCATACAATTTGCCCAGTACTCAATAAAAATTGTTTAGGCATAACAGGGTGCAGGACTAATATCTGGTATGGAATAAAAATAACTGTAATTAAAATGTTAAAGAAGGGATTGGAGATGGCTCAGTGGTTAAAACAAGAGAATGTGGGCTGGATTCTAGTACCCACACAGTGGCATCCCTAATCCAATTCCAATGGATCCTTCCCCTTCTTACCTGCATGGACACCAGACATGCATGTGGTGCACATACAAACATTCATGTACATAAAATGAAAAAATCAAAATATTAAGATATAGTGCTAAAAATATTCAAGAAAATGGCAAGATGCAGAAGTTTCCCTAGAAAAGTGATCCATGAGAAATAGTAACAAGTGAAGATTCTAAAAGTGGAAGGTGCTATGTTACAGAATTTAAAAACTCAAGAGAGTAGAGTAGAAAGCTACCATTAATAAATCAGAAGTCAACAGAAAAAATCTACACTGAACTGTGGGTGGCAGGGATGCAGAAAAGACTGCAAAGACAGGAAGTGCAGAAACTTCACACATACATAACTAGAGTCTAAACTATGCAAAAAAGGGCCATAAAATATTTAAACTGAGACAGAAAAGGGTTATAGAAAAACACAGCATGCCTGGCTGCATATCTTTATTAATTTAGTTTCATTACTATTCACATTTTTCAGAAAATGAAATTACAGATCAGAGGGGTCAAATGACCTGTTAAAGGTTATACACATAGTAAGAGAAGCTAAGCATTTGAACCTTTTGTGTCTGTTTCCAAAACATGGTCAGCAAACAATATTGAGAGCCAAATCTCTAATATTTTTGGGTATTGCTAGCCATGCAATCTGCCACCAACATTCATCTTTGTTGTAGCATAAAAGTAGTGATAGACTATGCATGGAAAAATGGGAAGAGCTGTTTTGTCCCCCAGCAAAACCTTCTCACAAAATCAGCTAAATATGGAGATCCAATTATCCTCCAGTGGCTGAGGCTGGCCCCTCCCTGCCCTGGACATGGTCTCTCTTGGGGACCCTTTCCTCTCCACTGACACCTCTTCACCTTTTCTCTCGCAGTTTTGAAAAACTTAACCCCACTAAAGAATTTCAAAACACTTCTTCTGAGGCTCAATTATAACACAAACAGTTTTCCTGGAGAACTCACATGGTCTAACTAACACCAATTATGCCACAAATTAACCTGAAGCAAGATAAAACACTTCAAAAACTCTATTAATAGAAACAGGCACTGTATTTGCAGTGTGAAAATGCCAAAGACTCACATTTACAATCCTCTCTTGTGAAGGCTGAGACAGGAAAACTACAAATTCCAAGCTTGTCTGGGCACCAGAGTGAAAGTAAGGCCAAGATCAACCTGGCCAATTAGTGAGACAATGGCGCGGGCTGGGGCTACAGCTCAGTGGCAAAGCACTGGTCTAGCTTGCATGAGGTTCTAGGGTTAGAGATCAGTACCAACAAGAAACAAACTGTCTTTTGAATTTGATTCAGCTGTTGGACCAAGTTTTAGAAACATACACCACATTTAATAATCACATTCGAGACAGACCACTGAGGTCGGCAGCCACACACAACAGCCAAGTCTCAGACCAAGCCTGTGACCAAAGCAACCACACATAGAACTGAGACTCCCATCACTCATATTTCACAACACACCCACACATGGCATTTCATATACAAAGACATAAATAGTGTAAACACTAAAGAAAAGTACCCTTCACCTGTTCTTCTCTTTCTGTCTTGTATCTGTACATGTTCTCACAGGTACAGGCTCATTCTCCTCCTGTCCTCTCTCCCTCTCTCCCTCCCTCCCTCTCTCTCTCTCATACACAAATTATTTTTTAAAAATACAGCCAAAGTGCAAACAAAATGGAAAATAACATAGGATTGTGTTTAATCCCAGCTCTGTAACTAAAACCAGGTGGGTAATCTTCCCTCCCCTTCTGTATCCAGTACGTTATTCATTCCATTATCCTATATATCCTCTTCTAAACATTAGAAACACTACAATGAGAGGTCCACAGTACAGTGCGGACACAGTCAAGAACCAAAAGAGCTGCTCGCACCATCATGGTTAAGCAAGTCTGGGCATTGCCTAAATGATGCATACCTAAAGGTAATTCTACAACCATGGTTCTCAACTTGTGGGGGTGGTGACCCCTTTATGGGTTGAAGTGCCTTTTCACAAGGGTCACCTAAGTCTATCCTGCATACTTGATATTTACATTATGATTTATAACAGTAGCAAAACTGCAGTTATGAAGTAGCAATGTAATTAATTTTATGGTTGGGGGTCACCACAACATAGGAACTGTGTTTAAGAGTCATGGTGTTAGGAAGATTGAGAGCCAGTGCTCTAGAACATCCTGGAAATTCATCTTACTATTAAGGAGGGCTGGGTCAGAAAACCAAGTATAATGGTACGTGTCCATAATCCTAGCACTTCATGAGACTAAGTATGAAGGCCAAGGGTTCATGGCTACCTCACTACATGCCAGGATACAGTCTTAAAAAACAAAAAACAAAAAGAGAAAAGAGTCCTCTCCTCAAAAAGTCAACTATTAATGAGAACCTTTACAAACGTATTAATCATCCACACTCCAGGGCAGACCTAATTCTCAGGAATAGTTGACCAACACAAAACATACTCCTTATTTTATGTCCTCTTTTTTACTTATGGTTTGGTGGGTTTTGTCCTTTTGGCTTTTGTTTTGGTATCTTTTTTACTTCTGTTTTTGAAGAGAGAGAGAAGATTAATTTGGGTAGAAGTCATGAAGGAGGGAAGGATCTGGAAGAAGTAGAGGTGAAGACAGAAATTTTTAAAATAGTAAAAAAATAATAAAAACCTAAACTATGTTTTTATTTTAAAATTATTTTAGATTATTTTTAAACTAAGACCCCTATACTAAAAAAGCTAATATTTTATTTTCTGGAGAAACGTAGTCAACACAAATAGCCATAAAGAGACTTGTTTGAAAAGACCAACAAACACTTTCTCAATCCCAGTGTAGTACAAAGTTTAGGGGTCTAAAGCTAGCTTGGTTACTTTTGCCTGCACTCCTGTACTTCAAAGAACCACCGTATTTACAGGTCTCTAACATTAGTGGATATAAACATGCCTTACCAAATTGCGCTTTTTTAGTGGAAGAAAATAATAATAGTGGCAGAAAGAAAACATCAGTGCGTAGCAAGTGAGAAGCTCAGTGTAGAAACACAACTGCAAAAAGAGCCAGTGGTTGTCTTCACCCACACAGTTGTTTATCCTAGAAAAAACAGAGAAAGACATACAAACTTTAGAAAGATGCTCATATCAGGGCCATGAAGTTAAGCATCTCCCAAACCTAAAAGCCAACCATTTAAAGGCACACACTTATGAAGTACCTTCTCCCTTCGAAGGAGGGACAGCTAGAGTCTACAGCCCTCTGATGAGCAGTAGCCCAGTGATGCAGGGGAGCTAACACTGGCTGTCAACACGGGAAGAGGAACATAGCATTTAGGCCACTGGCCAAAGGCTACTTGGTTAGGAGAGAATGAGACCAAGAGGACCTGTCACCAGCATCCCCGCCCTCTGTAGAGCACTCTAGAAGATGAGAGCAATTTGAGTACTACAGAGAAAACAGCTCAAACTTGCTACTTGGATAGAATTGCAAGGCACACAACTTTATTTTTGTATTTTTACTTTATAAAAATATAAAAATGTATCCTTGAATGCTGAAAATAAAAAATGTATGTCATAATATACAGTATTCTATAGAAGACTTAGATAATTTAAAAACCCAAAGTACTTTTATTTAAAATGCTCTTCCTTAGAAAGGGAGGGAGGGAGGGACAGACAGGGAACTGGGATTGACATGTAAAATAAGTAAAAGAAAAAAAAAAAAAGAAATAAAGAAAAAGAAAACCATAGCCAAAAGCAAAAATAAAATAAAATAAAATATGCTCTTCTGTTTTTCTAGTCTCTGGCAATCAATTTAAATAAACAGTTCACAGTAAAAAACAAAAACAAAAAATAATTTAAACTAAAAGTGTGCTAATTAGCAATGCTATCAAAATATCATAGGTATATATGAGAAGATTATCATAATAAAGTTATCATAAATAAGGGAAGTGAAATTGATTAGCATCATTAGATAAAGATGAAGTTCTTTAGCCAACTTCAGGTAAATGAACTTTCTTTAAGTTAAAGAGGGCTATAATATAGTTAACATCATATATATGTACATGTATGAGTACACAAGCAAGTATATATTTTTAAAGTGCTGTATCAATTTATAAGTGCTATAACAATTTAAATATTTAAACAAGAGCCAATATTTAAACAAGAATTAAATATAGAATTTTGCTCAAAGATTTCTGTGACAGCTTTGAAATGAAATATAATAGATTCTCAGAGCATTTGGTTTTTGTCCTTTTATCTACTTTTAAACAGAATTTCTTTAAATATTACAACAGAGCCCCCTATTGACCAAACTATTGGCAGTTCCACAGAAAGCTAATTAGCACTATATATATCCAACAGGCACGAAATGTTAATAGGTCCAACAGAAAATACTATAAAAGGCACAAGGAGTGGAAGGGAATTATTAGCAAATCTGAAAAGTATTCTTCAACAATTAAGGGAAGAGGAATCTAAGCAATGGTCATGCCCAGTAAGAGAAACAGCTGTTAGGTGAGTGTTTCCTCACAGCTGACCATGTACCAAATGCTCTGCACGCATTGCTCCATTTTATATGAACACCTTATCCTTCTGTATATTTTGGATATGAGTTAATTTTGAAGTTTTTCTGCTCAAATGTCTTCTTGTTAGCAAAGATAAATCTCTACATATAATTTATTCTGGAACTTGCAAGTGTTATTTTTGCTTAAAGCTGGATGGTTCTCAGATTGTTCATTTTTATTTTCATTAACTAATCCTCCTGCTTCAGCTCCTGAGTGCTGAGATTACAGATGTGCACCAACACACTCAGATGTTGTAGGATAATTTCACCAGCAATCCTGTTGCTGTCTGTAAGCATTGATGATCATCTACTTACCAAGGACAATGGTGGTCCATCCTCCTTACACAGTGGCCACACCGGCTGCAGTGATGAGAGCGCTTTGGCCTCATCAAATTACACTTGTTGCATAGCTCCCACAGCTCCCGTTCTGAAAAGGAGAGCAGACCATTTAGGAAGAAGGCACAGGAGTGATACTAAGATGCTGAGTCTCAGTAACAACAGCAAGTGATGCAGAGACTCAGTAATAGCAGCAAGTGACAGAGACTCAGTAGCAACAGAGAGTAAAGCTGAGAGTAAATAGCAACAGAGTGATGCTGAGAGTAAGTAGCAACAGAGAGTGATGCTGAGACTCAGTAGCAACAGAGGGTGATGCTGAGACTCAATAGCAACAGAGAGTGATGCTGAAACTCAGTAGCAAGGGAGAATGATACCGAGACTAAGCAACCACTACTATATCCCAAAGGGATTCTTGAACTCATTTCTCCAAGACATTTCTCTTTTTTTCTGAGTCACCAAAGTAATCAAGTACCTTTGACATTATGTGTTTTTATACATTTCTATTTTAACATTACAAAAAAGATACCATTATTTCAAAGTAAATGACAGAAAGCCTGATTCTGGGAAAAAAAAAAAAAAACAAAAACTCATGAGTGTAAGTAAAATCTTATAAAACCCTAAACTCAACCAAAACACTCAAATTTTGTATAAGTCAGTTAATTTACACATTTGTTTTTAGCTAAGAGCACTAAAGAAAAAAAAGTCTTACTTTCAGTAGATAAAAGTTGAAACCAATCTTATAAATGTCTCTAAGGCATTTTATTTTTTAATATTAATAAATTAATTTGGGCATGTATGTTAGGAGTAGGTTCAGATTCTGTTTAGAAGGCACCCAATAAAGAAGTGTTCAATTATCTGAAAGGATGCCTTTCTTAAATTCTATTACTTTGGTTTAATGATACATCTTGCTGTTTAAAATTCTGGCTTGCCTGAAACTCACTATGTAGACCAGGCTGGCCTTGAATTTGTGGGTGATTTCTCTGCTTCTGCCTCTTGAGTGGTAAGTTTACAAGCATGTATCACCTCACCCAGCTCTTCAAACAGCAATAATACAATAGCAGTGACTCCGATCTTAGGTGTTTTAGCCAGCATTTACTAGGGGGAAGCTGTGCGTTCAGAACTCAGTGACATTGCCCACCACTCAGTGAAGACAATTGCTACCGGAAGTACCTCAGATTCATCATTCATTTGACTTAGAATTAAGTTTGCATCATTTTTACTGTAGCTCAAGTTTTCCTGATGCCCACATTCAGTTACAGGTCCCACAGCTGGGGCCCAGGCTAGCAGACTAACAAACTCTAGCATTCAGGGCACTCAAGTCCATTCCTTTCCTATAAAACCCAAGAATACTTGTGACTCAGTATTACAAAGCAAAATCTTTTAAAGTCTTCTATTTTAAAATAATACAGCATGTTCTGTCAGTAGTGGTGTGAGAGTGTTCTACAGCAGACTATGGAGAGGGCCACATAGTAAACTGGACACTTGCAATGAATGAACTATATGACAGATCAATTAGCCTCAACAAAACAATTTTTCAAGAGCTCAAATAAGATTATTCCATAAAACTTGAAAGTGATAGTGATGTTTCTAAGTTAGGTTACTGTTTATACTTGTTATTTAAAAAAAAGCATGTGTGGATAATTTTAATAATATATTTGTATAACAATCTCATTTCACTATTACATCTACATGCTCAAAGGTTTTAAAATCAAATTTCGAGTATCTTCTCAAGGAAAAAAAAAAAAGGGCACTCCCTTGTGCTTAACTTTGCCGCGTATTTAGTGGGTCACATGTATACTAAAGGTATTCTTTTAAAAAAAGATCACCATCTAGATGAGAGGCAGAGGCTAGCTAGCCTGGAATACTACATGCAGCTGCAGAAACAGGATACCTGCTTCAATGCTTCAATAACGTAGAAGGTGATTATGGTTCAATACCTTATTCAATAAGAAACAACTTCCAAAAGTCCTCTGACTCCTGCATACACACTGCAGCACCTATGTGTCTGCGAATGCACACCTATTTGGCTCTCTCTCTCTCTCTCAAGCAAACACACACACTGGGGAGGGGAGAGAAAGAGGGGGAAGGAGGGAGGGAGGGAGGGAGAGAGGAAGGGAGGGAGAGAGGAAGCAAGGAAGGAAGGAAGGAAGGAAGGAAGGAAGGAAGGAAGGAAGGAAGGAAAGGAAAGGAAGAAACTATATAAAACAGTTCTGGATGATTCAATAAAAAAAAAAGGTTGGTAACATGTAAGTATTATGGCTTTAAGTTTCTTTTTCTGAAGAATCCAACTATATGAAGCTGCTCAATCTTCAAGATTTTACTAAATAAAAGCATGATTCTATATTTTCAACATCTGTCATGCTATACATTTTCAAAAAACACACAAATACAAAAGACAACCAGTACATGACAACCCCCAAAAAATTACTGTAAAGATGAATGACAAAAGAAAAAACTGAATCTGTTAAAATAAGTTTACCGAGAATGTGCAGCTGGTTTTAGAACCAGGCTTCTGGAAGATTTTTGGAACAACACACTAGAAAAGCCTAGACTACAGTAAGCAGGGCCTTACAGGCAATTCTGGAGGAGGCTCTGGAGGGAGTTAATGTTTGATGGATGATGGGAGATGTCATTCTGTAAATATGTTTCTCTTATTGGGTAATAAATAAAGCACTGTTGGCCAATAGGAAAGCAAGATAGGCGGGACTAGGAGACTAGGAGGAAAGATGAAGGAGTAGGGAGGAGATTGAAGATAGAGGACAGGACGGAGAGACCACGTGGAAATACTTAGATTAATAGAAATGGGTTAATATTTAAGACAGAGCTAGCCAGTAAGAAACTAATAACTGGCCAACAAAATTATATCTAATACAGCATCTCAGTGTATTATTTTGGGCTGGTGTGGTGGTGGGACCAGGCTGGCGGTAAAAACTGCTCTTAACATAATGGTGCCCAATGTGACAGCACCGGCAACGTGGCTACTGAGAACTTCCACTTAAAACTTAAGAAAAGCTTAAGAAAGGGCTTTAGAAACAAAACAGCAAAGACAAGCAAGACTTCTTGCTAACAACATTTTTCTCAGTTGGATTGTTTTGCTAGAGACAAGCAGGAATTTGTGCGGCTCCTTTAAGGGAGGCTTCCTGACTCAGCATAAGTGGCAAAAAACTGCATGGCTTTTAAAGAGCTCTGCTAACAACTGAATGTTGTGTACCAGAGCTGGCAATGGCAGTGACTGGCATCTCCAAGCCAGTAGCATGCTGCTGGATAGCAGCGTAGACCAAGGCAGTGAGCACAGCTCTCAGTTCTGGTGGTAAAAGTACCTGCTGCTATCTTGGATAGACCATGGCTAATACAGCTGTGGCTTTCATTTTAGCAATGTTGTTGTTTACCAGATAAAAGATTCATGGCCAGAAAAAGATAAAGATTTACAGTAAAGACAGATTCAGATTAAGAAAAACCTCTAAAGGTTTACAGTGTGTTTTAAAATATATGTAGACTTGGGAGAGAAAAAGAATAAAATGGTTTTGAAAAGACAGAGTAGCTGGGTGTGGTGGCACACACCTTTAAATTCATCACTCAGGAGGCAGAGGTGAGCAGATCTCTGTGATTTCAAAGTAAACCTGGTGTACAGAGTTAATTCTAGGAAAGAGAAAAGTTACACAGAGAAACCCTGTCTCAAAAAATGAAAAAACAGAAGTAGAAGAAATAGAGTAATAAAAAAAGCCACATAAAGATGGAAAGCACAGAGAAACTTTGGATACTATACACTATTATGTTGTCTTTAAATTGTTTGACTGCTAAGGAAATAACAACAACTGTTAAAACAAATGCTGCTGGATTAATTCAATTTATATATTTTAAAACTGCTTTGACTTCAAAATTTAAGTCTAAGGACAGGTTACTGGGGAAAAGAATTTCTATTTTTGTTTCCACAGAAAATGAGAAGCTGTGGATTCCTTCCAGACTAACATGGTTCGACCAAGCCAGACCCCCTGAAACAGTGTCCCAGGTGATCCAACATTCAAAACAGTTGGGGCAAGGCAGCCTTAGAGACTACAGTCAAGATTTCTGAGTCTTCTTAGGATCCCCATGACAGAGCCCCCTACCAGCAGAAAGCAGTTTGGAAAGAACGACACCCAAATTCCCTAATATTATCTATAAATGTCTGTTTTCACTTAAATGGGGTTGGTTATAAATGTTTAATGACCACAACCAATCTTTTTAAAGGTAAAAAGGGAATTACGGTATAGATATGAATACTTTGCTTTGGAATGAGTTTTCATTTATTGATACAAATTTAAGGTCAATTTTGTGATATGTATATTTCTCCTCTTGTTTAGGTATTATGTTTATATAGCTCACTTAGAAATGCAATGTATAATTTAATACAGATTATAGTCAAAACTTATAGTTAAGTTAGGATTTCTAGATATACAGAGATATATTTGAGATAATAGACATTCTTCAAACCTTTCAAAGACCTACAGAATATGGCATTTAAAATGGTTTAGGGAGTTTCTTGACAGTGAGATATAACTGCTCCTAGCAACACCAACTGTGTCAGAAAGGAAGATGGACATCGAAGAAAGGCGTTATGAAGTTTGCTTTCAATATGGCAAGACTGGCCATTTGGACAAGATATTGCTCTTGTCTGGACTGTTTGACTTTATGCTGTATAAACTGGACATGCAGGACCCACAGGAAAGTGACTGCTGATACAAGATAGACATTGCTACAGGGTTCCTGCTTCATGGAAAAGTCTGACAGATATTCTGCAGGACACAGAGAAAAATCACTGACAAACTGCCAATACATGTGGACAGTTTAAAGTTTCTTGCTTACCTGAAGAGTCTGCCAGACAGACACACTATGGCCTATAGGCTGAAGATAGAACTTTACAGAAGAACTTCGGGTGACTGACCAGGCAGTGAGTTTTCTCTGTCATTTCTAGAGTTTATATATTATTCTTCTGTGGTCTTTGATGGAGTTGAAGACAGTTATGGTTAGAGTTTTCTTTACTTAAGATAAAGATAAGTTACATATAAGACTTTAGACTCACAAAGATAGGACAGATGGTAGAATATTTTCTTTAAATCTTACTAAATGTTAATGTACTAAATATTGTTAACTGTGATTCTTATTTGGTAACTGTTGTGTGATATATTTTGCTATGCTAAGGTTAAAACCCTACTTTTTATTTTAGACAGAAAAGAGGAGCTGATGGGAGATGTCATTCTGTAAATATGGTTCTCTTATTGGGTAATGAATAAAGCACTGTTGGCCAATAGGAAAGCAACATAGGCGGGACTAGGACACTAGGAGGAGAGAGGAAAGAGTAGGGAGGAGATTCAAGATGGAGAACGGGGAGAAGAATGCCAGCCCCTCTCTCCGGTAAGATGAGACCACATGGAAGTATTTAGATTAATAGAAATGGGTTAATATTTAAGATAAGAAACTAGTAACTGGCCAACAAAATTATATCTAATACAGTGTCTCTGTGTGTTACTTGGGGCTGGCGTAGTAGTGGGCCCAGGCAGGCAGGGGAAAACCTTACTCATAACAGATGGAGATAAATAAATCTTTTCTTCATAAAACTTGCCAACCTTGGGTATTTCATTATAAATGCAAAAACTTAGCAATGTGCCTATTTTTCTGTTCTAAAATTTTAAGATCTAGAAATCTGTGTGACAATTTCACAATAGCGGAATCATAGCTACTCCCTTTAGATGTCTGAGGAGTAAAGGAGGGTCACAAAATGAGGGAGTGGGAGGGGTCCTGTAATTGAAAATAGGCATGTTAGCCAAGACTTCAAAGCGGTTTCAAATGACTTAAACAAACCACATATTAGGAATAATAAGATGTGTTAATAAATATAATTTCCAGCATCGGCAAAATGGATTAACCTAAAGAGAAACTGACCTGCATGTGGGATCTTGGGGTTTTCCGGCAGTCTTCCAGGGTCAGTTAAGGAGGCCCTCACTAAGGCAACCAGACAAAATATGGAAATGCCATAGAATACTGTAACATGAAATTAAATAGAGCAATTAGTCATTCACCCTTTAAGATGTTTTCTCAACAAGCACAAAGTTTAAAAAATGCATTTTAACCAACCCCACCAGGATAACGTTATCAAAAGAGTAGATATTAAAACAAAGAGGATTTATTTTACTCATCATATAGTCCTGCCAAGATAACACTACACTAAATGTACCAATTTAAATATGATTTTCTAAAACAACTGATAAACTTAGATTCTTTCATACAGTGGCCCCCGATAATGATAAGTAAATGAATGGACTCATTTAAAAGAATCAAAACAGCACTTAAAAAGTATTCTGCATTTAACCTTTCATCAACTCTATCTTTAAAATCATTCTAAATTAGTGATATTCAATTGCCTCCTTTGATGTATCTTAAAGAGATGTACTTCAAAAATGAAGAATTAGAAACATCTGAATGCTAAAGTAACCATAAAAATAACACTAAGGAGCAACTGAGATTCAGTCACTATAATTACACAATTCAAGTTAAAACATGGGCCTTTTGTAAGGAAATAAAAAGCCAACACACTGAACACATAAAAGGAAACAGTGCTCACTGAAAGTGTGCCTGACTGCAATGTAAGTGTGTTTGTTTGCCTGTGTGTTTGACATATACCCTACTACAGAGCTCAGGCTGGCCTGGAAGTCACCATTTTCCTGCTTCAGTCTTCTGAGTGCTAGGACTACCAGATATATGATCATATCTAGCAATATGGATTAGGCTTACCACATGTACAATAAGAATTACAATTTCTTATAGCTCTTATGATATCAAAAAGAGGCAAAACTGTAAACACGATGGATGATCTCAAGAGTCTTTTTTTTTTTTTAGGATCATTAAATTCTCATCTACCAGTAATATATCACATCCCCTTCCCTATAATGCCTCCATTTTCAAGCCAGGCACAGTGATGCATGCCTGAAGAAGGCAGCATAAGAATGGCAACTCTGAAGCCATCCTAGGTTATAGAGGGAAGCCCTGTGTCAAAATATAAATCAATCAATCAATCACCTCCCATGTCTGCAGCTAAATACAAAACAGAAATAGAACTGTTATCAGGCTTTCCTCTTGAACAAAATAGTCTTCATGTACTTCCCAGAGGGAAACGAATGTAGATATAGTATCTTAACTCTGCAAGTCCAAAAAGGCCACTGTCTTAAACAACTGTAATTTAATTAAGAGGTTAGCAGTACTACTGAAATAGCATATTCAAATCATGGAGACACTGTACTTCAAAACATTCACAATGAGAAAAAAAAATCTTTATATAAGGTAATAAGACTTAGAAACTTACTTATTATTAAAATGCCTGGAATATGTCCTTCTTCATAGTGAGGAAAGAGGACAATTTTGGGAATTAAAACAATATTGTATAACCAGACAAAGACAATCAAACCCATGCAGCACCAACCATGTGGGTCAACAACAAAGTGAATCCGAAGCCCCATTCTGCAGTCCTAGAACTGCCTGCCAACCCACAGGAAGACAACCCTAAGAGAGAGAAAAGGGAAAGTTACCACCATGGAAAAATGACTCAATGGAAAACCGCATCTCTGGAAACTACATAACAACATTTACTGAGTTTCCTTTGTGTATTTAGGTTTTGTCTCAATAAGAATTTAAGGGAACAAACAGAAAGTTCACTAAAATCTTCAAATAATTTAATTTTAATTACCCATTATAAATCATCACTATTAGAAGTGAAAATTGGCATGATCTGCTCAAATGAAGATACTGTTTTATCCTTAACTACAAATGCTAGGTGTAGACACAAAAGACATGTACAAAAAGTCTTAGCACTTTTACCAGGAGGCTAACATCACAGACTCTATATCTGGTTATCTTACAGTGAGAGGTGTGTGTTCTAGCTGGAAGGGAATTTGAGCCTCTAAAGAGCCAAAAACATTCTGTACTTTGACCTGTATTTTGTAGGTATATGCAAATGTAAACATAAAGACAGTATGTATACTTAAAACTACAATGGAAAAGCTTACAAATCATTTTAATATGGTAAAACTAAATAGAAGTTACAAATAGTTAAAATTATTAAAATTTATGGGATGAAGCCCAACTAATCTCATTACTATCAACTCAAAAAGACTCCTGTTTAAATGGGATTTTCATTCAGTTAAGAGTTAGCAATCACCAACAGATCCCCCATATGACAGTCTCCAACTCAGCTCAAACTTCAATCCGAAGTGATGTCCACCAAGTGACCTAAAAGATATCTGTACTACAGTAGACACACTTACAAAGATTAAATGACAGTTTATTGTATACAGTCTTGGGGCATCTCTTACATAAATTATAATGGTGCAATAATAAATCAGGCCAGTCATCCTCAAACTTGCAGCAAAACAGAATCAATTAGGGAGCTTAAAAAAGATTCCCAGACCCCAACCCAGGTCCACCAAATAATTTCTCACAAGGCTCAAATTCATCCCTGTGCATCATGAAGGTGACTGCTGGCTCAGTACATGTACCTGTACTAGTTGTTTCCTAGACAATGTAGATACAACTATTAATAAGCCATAATCTTAATCAGTGGTTCTCAATCTATGGGTCACGACTCCTTTGGCCAACCTTGATCTCCAAAAATATTTACATTAAAATGCTTAACAGTAGAAAACTAAAGTTATGAAGCAGCTATGAAAATAATTTTATGGTTGGAGTCACCACAATATGAGGAACTATATTAAAGTTCACAGCATTAGAAAGGTTGAGAACCACTGTCTTAAATAAACAAGTCCAATTTGAAAGTGTCATTTAAAAGGGTTAATTTATTGTGGTAAGTTCCAGATCTGTGAACAAAGTCATCAGTAAATGCCCAGAAGATGGGACCTAGTTACAACCAGATTCAAGTAGCACTTCCAGAACAGACACAAACTGAGCTCAATCTTAAAAGATGCAAGTTATCTTAGAAAAAAAAAAGAAAAAAGAAAGGAAGGAAGGAAGGAAGGAAGGAAGGGAGGGAGGGAGGGAGGGAGGGAGGGAGGGAGGGAGGGAGGGAGGAAGGAAGGAAGGAAGGAAGGAAACCATTGCAACCACTACAAGAGTACTGCAAAGAGACTGAGCATCACAGGAGTCACAATCTGCCACCAAAAGTCACAATGCCTCCCAGGGACAGTGACTGGGGAACACAGAAGGGCTCTAACATGAGGGAAACACAGATGTCATTTAGAATGCTCAAACTTTATTCTTATGCACAGAAGAGCTATTCAAATGGGGATTAAGTAAGATTTGTATTTTAAATTAATGGCACACTTGTGTGGAGAACAAAGTTAAAGACAGATCAGTTAGACTAAAAGAATAAAAGAATATGAAAAACAAAATTAATTTTAGAGAAGAGACCAATTGAAGTAAAATCAAATCAGTGAGCCTCACTAAGTGACTCCCTACTAGGAGTTAAAGAACAAACAAAGATGACTCCCAGATCAGCAGCTGGTATCACCCGCAGTTATGTGATTCTAAGAATGACTGGTCTCTCACTGGAGGGCCTTAGGGTACTCAGCAGGCCATAGGCTACCAAACAAAGATCAAAGGCCACCAAAGTTAAGGAGAATACCTCTCCTCTCATCCTTAGAAACTTCCAACTCCTGGGGCAACAGAACAGCTAAGCAACAGTAGACTGCTTGCCTAGCATCAACCCCCAGGACAACCAAGAAAATAAATTCATTTAAAAATACTAGTTCCCTTTTTAAAGAAAATGGCAGGAAATCCATTGCAATACTCGCAACAATTTAAATCAGATAAAGTCCAAACAAGTATTTTTATGAGAATGCTGAAATAGGAATTGAGCCTAGGTCTTTTAAAAAGTAAAAGTTGAACATCATTACCATTTAGTCAGAAATTTACAAGACAGTTCAGGGTCATTAAAGAAAACCAGAGAGAATAAAGCATACTGTATAATTTGCTAGGAATCATTACACTAAAAATTAAAGGAGCACAAACACAAATAAATACATAGCTAAAGAGATACATTCCAAAAAATAATTTAGGAGTATGGGAAATTGGAAAAGGGCTGTGCTATATAGCCCAGGCTAGCCTGAAATTTAGTATTAATATTTTCACCCATGCTGTCAAGAGCTACAAAGACAGAGGCTCTGCCTCCCAACATACTCAATAGTATGAACTTCATTTACCTTTTCGGCCTTCAATGCTTTGGTTCTACTCAGTACTAACAACTAATTTCACATGCTAGAGTACTGTGGTGCCTCATTCCTACTCTTGTTAACATAAGAAACAGAAACAGAAACCAATCTGATAAGAACATAGGAAAATTATCAACTATTCATCTATTGAACTGTTTTTTTCTAAATTCCTTTAGTTTTGAAGCAACTAATTTTTCTTATTATTAAAAGATCAATCCCTCACAACAGAAACTACTACAATGACAAAATCATTTAAGATGTTTCTGTTTCCCTGAATGAAAATACATATAGATGGAAAACTCTAAAACAGCATCCCCAAGAAGACTGACCCCAGAAAAATTAACAAGTAACACACTGTCGAATATGGAAAACAAATACCTGATTAGTAAAAATTAGTGACACATGGTCCTGGGAGAACAGCAGTCTTCTGAAAGCCCCAGCCAAGAGCCTGTGATGGGTAGAGTGGCAGGATCACTCCAGTGTGGATGTCTACCAGGTGTGGCTGATGGCTGGACAGAAACTATTACACACTCTGAGCAACAACCAAACTCAACAGCGCTTAGGCTTACAGGCAACATCTGCCATATACTTTCATTAGCTGGAGATCCCCACACGCTAATTTCTATATTAAATGTGAGCTCAATCAAACTTTGAAGTGACTAGTCGATGAACTGGTTCGTCAACACTTGAGATTGCTATCTGGTGACTGTACTTTAGTGACTAGCTTCATGATGTAAATTATAAATTACTACAGCACAAACTACTTTTAAAGAAATTAGAATTCAACTGTAATAGACTGCCCTGAGGGAATATTTACAATGTTCAATTTATCCTGAAAGTATAAGATCTTACATTCATTGCCATTTTTGGCACCACCTCAGAAAAAAAGATTTGAATTATTGAGGGAAAAACAAACAACAAAGAATGACTACATAACAGAAAATTGTAATAGCAGAATGAAAATTTTAGAGAAAAGTAAAGATTAGCTAAAATAACTAACAAGAAATGAAGTCAAACACATATTTGCAAACAGTTTTCTATGACTCTCCACTTTAGCTAAAACTGGTTTTACTACTTAGTATTTCACAAGTATGACATTCATCATTTGCTGTTCATGTCTGAAGTATCCCCAGCACTCTGGTTATTGTTTAAATTAACTCACTATCCAACATTAATACAAGTTTCCCTGGCACTTTAGTTCACAATGATCTGTTTCCTTATGAAAGTCAATAAAATCTGACTCTGGAAGAAGAGAGCAAGTGATTTTAAACTCTTGGAGGAAGGATGGCCTTCACAACCAAGACCCACAAACATTGACTGACCACATAAAAATTTAAATTCCTGAGCTCAAAACACACCAAAAACAAAATTACAGACAAGGCATTCCTGGAAAAAATATTAAAATGTATGACTGATAAGAGGCAGGCAAAGCAAATAGATGAGGAGACAACTCACAAACAGAAAATAGTCTAATGGGGAGTCATTACTGATGAGGAAATGGACAATGACTAGGTATTTTTTCCTATGTTGAGAAGACACAGGGAAAAGAGCACCCCCACACATTGCTGACCTGCATGTAAGTGAATACAATCCTCTTGAGAGGGCAATCTGGCATACCCATCAAAATGTGAAAGCCTTTAGCCCAGCAGTTTTATTTATAATAGCTATGAAAGCTCACTCGCAAATGTACAAAGTGGACAACAGAACAAGGATATACAGAGATACAACACCTTTTGTAGTCATAAAAATCCAGTACCATCTAAAACCTTTTTGTAGCTTCATCAAACATTCGTCAAACTCAGGAAAAGTACATTTAAGATTGAGGCATTCTGTGCTATGTGGGTGTCATTTTACAAAGCCAAAACTGTAAGTCAATCCTGAACTCTAGTTAATAATAACTTATAGTCAAGTATGAGGGTGAGGTTCCTGACATCTGCAATTTACTTTGAAATAGAACAATAACAATAAAGTTGACTGATGGATGGACAGTGAGTATATGATGAGTTCAGACCGTCAATTATAGAACCTATGTAATGGCATTCAGGTGTTACACCTCAAAACTTATTTCTGTTTCTGTTTGAACTTTTTTTTTCAAGGTGAAAATTTAAGGGCCCAAGTTATAGGACAGCTTGTATAATAGTTCTTTGTTAGAAAAAATAGAAGTGACTTCTACATGAAGGGAGCCTGAAGGAAACAGTAACCAAACTGCTAACTGTGGTCATCATGATACAGTGTACACTGGGTCAACTCTCATGTGCTGTCTGGCTCACTGGGAAGCTGGCTCTGCAAGCTGGGTTACATCCTACTTCAGACCCAAGCATGTTTATGTCATAAGTCCTCCAAGACTGTCCCACCTACATCTGTGACAATGAGGAAAAAAAACTGCACAACAGCCTAAAAGTAAAAAACCTGTCCCTGACAACAGTAGAAAGTGAGCCATCTCCAACAAGAGATTACAACTGTTTGTCACGGTAAAAATACCTGACTCAGGACGGGAAGTTCAATCATAGGCAGACCATCCACAGAGAGAAAGCTCACAGGGGAAGTATAGCTGACTGCCTTAACTTCCCCAGTGTACTTCTGCTTGACAGGGCAAGCCCCTGGCTTGATGTTGTCTGTGTTAGCTATCTCAGTCAAGCTACTTCAGTTGTCACTACTGGATATTGTAAACTCCTGACTTGATGATGTTCTGCTGTCAAGCTGCTGTTTCTCTCTACTCACTACTTGATATTTATTCTTTCCCTTTGCTCCCTATACTCACTCATTTGAGACTGAACACATGGCCGCCACATCCTTTAGACCCCATATAACACATGGCTGACAGAGCAGTGAGGAAGATGACTTTTATGTTGTATGTAAGTACTTATGTTTTCTTCTAAGTTTATTAGTGAGGGCATGTAACTCTAAATTCTTTTCAACCAACTGAAAAATAGAAAACCAACTGAAAAATAGAAATAGCCTAAAGTCAGACACCAATGACCTTACAAACAAAATGTTTCATTTGAGAGTTCTTACTTCAAAATAGTTTTTAAAGAGATACCATAATAGAGGGAGCCATTTTAGGTTTGAAAAGAAAACTGACTCTAGAGAAATATTCAGAGACCTACAAGGATGACCCCGACTAACAATCTGAGCAACAGTGGAGAGGCTGCCTTAAATGCCCTACCCTGCTAATGAGATTGATAACTAATGTATATGCCACCATAGAACCTTCATCTAGTAGCTGTTGGAAACAGAAGCAGATACCCACAACTAAACACTGAGCCAAACTCCTGGAATCCGGATGCAGAGAGGGAGGAGTGATAAGCAAAGGGGTCAAGACCAGACTAGAGAAACCCACAGAGACAGCTGACCTGAACAAGGGCGAGCTCATGGACCCCTGACTGATAGCTGGGGGAACCACCATAGAACCAACCCAGACCCCCTAAACATGGGTCTCAGTTAGAAGGCCTGGGCAGTCTAAGGGACCTCTGACAATAGAACCAGGATGTATCCCTGCTGCACAAAAGGACTTTGGAAGCACACTTCCCATGAAGGGATACTCCCTTAGCCTAGAGCAGGAGGGCTAAACCCTACTCCAAATGACTTGACAGATTTTGATGATCCCTCCTGGAAGGCCTCACCCTCCCTGTGGAGTGGGTGGGGAATGGGACTGGAGGGGAGCTTGGGGAACATGGGAGGGACGGAGGGATAGGGAACGGGGTTTGATATGTAAAATAAGAAAAAGTAATAAAAAAAAAGAAAAAGTAGTTTTTAATGCAATATAGAAAGATCTGCATACAGCCATGTAAGATTTCTAATTTCAAAAGATGTTTCTGAAGTTTTAATGAAAAATTTTTTAAGAAAATACATTCCATCAAAATTTAAAATAAAAAAGTCAAATAAGTCCAAATTGTCTTTAATTCTTCATCGGCAAATGGACAATCTACTAAACACAAGATTCTAAGGCCAAACTATGCCACAGAAAGCAAACACTTTCCCATGTAAAATCAAATGCCCACTTACCACTTGCAAATTCACTGAGATGAGCTGTAAGTTTTCTGGCACTTGCATTTAGAAGTGGTATCTTCCTGGGTCATTCTTTTAATTATTTCTTTATATCACTTATTCCATCATATGGGCCTCCCTTCAATAACAGTTTCCCGTGAGTACCTATGAACAGTTTAACAATAATTTCTCACAGAGATAAAAACAGTAAGCAGGTAGACATTCTGAGAAAATGCCAATAACTAAAAGTGTTAAAAATCAGAAATAAGACGACCCCACCCCACCTGACCTGTGTATTCATTCATACCCTCCTCCCAGGAGCACCAATGACCATTATTTCCTGGAAGCTCTCTTTTGAAATCACTCAGTTCCCATAAAACCAATCATGTGTGCTGCATTTGGGCTCTGCTGAACTTCCTGAGCCACAAAGCACAGGGTCACAATGCATTCTGAGTTCACTTGGTGACAGTCAGGACAATGAAGACCAAAATGTGTAGCTACAAGTTTCTCAGCAAGACTGATGAACAGTGAATTCCTATGGTGCACATGTTAGAATGTAGTATTATAAAAATCTCTACATAGGAAAGACCAACTCACTTCTTTAGTCAACCAAGTAATTAAATATATACAATCTCCTAAAATACTGATGCTAAAGAGACTCAGGTCCTCTGGAAGGGCAGCGGGTGCTCTTGGGCACTGAGCCATCCCTCAGCCCCCACTAACTCTAACCAAGCTCAAAGTGGTCTCCTTCCCTTTGCCTTGGTCTTAGGGGCCAAGTATTTATGACAAACTTGAGGAGTTGCTACTCCTCAATGGTAAATAAATGAATTCTGTTTTCCAGGAGGGGGGGAAAAAAACCCAGAGAATTACAGATAGTGCATTTTGAAATATGACCAAAGTCAATACTGCTGTGAGGCTAGAGCTCTAGGGTGGCTTCCTCACAGCACTTTCTGTTAGTCACATTATTAGGAAAGAGCACAGGATAATCATCCATGAGTCAAATCCCAGGCGCTCAACTTAAAATCAAGGAAGACATCACTCTCTGTGGAATGCATGAAATAGCCCCTAAGTGCAGAAGTTACGGAGTACCAATATCCCAATGTCATAGAACATTAGCACCATACATCTGTTAAGAATACAAATAACTCATTAAATAATATTTCAAACACACCACAATAAAAAAAAAAAGCTGCAGGTGAATATCTTTAAAGACACCCATAAGGCTATTTTGATTTTATTCTACTCTAAAAATTAGTTAATCATAGCAGTTATCACTAAAATACCAGTCTCTAGCTAACTCTAAGAATCAGCCAATAAGCTAATACAAATTTTAAATATATCACAGATAGTGTATTTATCAACAAAGAGAACCTAACTCTAGTATGGGCATTAAAAATAAGGAGCTAGTGTCAAATTGTGGCACAGCCTCTTTTCACTTTCCAAGCTTCACTGCAAAAACAGGGATAATGATGCCAACTTAGAGGACCACTGTCATACTTTAGTGAAAGCTGCCTAGCAAGGAAGCAGCATTGCCCAAAGGTGACTTGAAAGGAAAGTGAATTAAAAGTAACCATTGCTTCTAAATTTAACAATTACTAGATAAAAGCATCCCTGCATCCCAACATTAAGAGTTGTACTAAAGTTTAGCCATCCATCTACTTTTTACTTCCTTTAATACCAAAGCTGGGGAATTATTTGTCATAATAAACCCTTTAGGGCCAACGAGGATTGGGTAAAGGCACCTGCCATCAAGCCTGAAGACCTGAGTTCAATCTCTGGGACCCATATGGTGGAAAGAGAACCGACCCCTGCACATTGACCTCTGACTATGCAAACACATATGGCAAGCATGCTCCCACACACATGCATACATACACACTCACACAAAATAAATAAGCTGTCAGGAAAACCCCTTCAGTTACTGTAGTCTTGCCACTGGCATTGTATTGCATTATAAGTATGCAGGAAAGAGGCATGCCACATGCTGCCTGATATATTTTCAAACAGAAAAAAGAAAACTACAGGTTTGATCTGAAACAGTCCCTACTCCAAATCTCAAGCACAAAGCATCATGTCAAACTAGGGAGTGAAGCATGGATGGAAATCAGCACTTGACTTCAGAAGCTGATGAACAAGGCTAACCAAGGCATTTGGAGACACAGTTCTCCAAGAAGAGTTGGAAAGAAATGTGGGTGCAGCAGTATCCAAGTGTATTCCCCTTGCACCTCCAGTGGTTTCAAGAATGCACTCTGTGGGATGCTCTCAGTCACTGAATTTGAACAAAACTGAACATAAGCTGTTGCTCTTCACACCCATTTGTAATTGTGTGCACTGGCCTCATGAGTGAAATACTCGCAGATAATGCACTTCAACACTGAACTAGAGTTACACACTTCAGTAGACTACTCTCCTGACAAATAATTAAGTAACTTGGAAGACAAAGAATGTGGTCAACCAAAGACAGACTTCCAAACATTGTCTCAGAGTACAAAAGTTCTGTGGGTATTTTCACTGAGGAATGTGAGAATAACAAGAACACAAAAGGCAACATTGATGTAGGGTAGGGACAAGTTCAGTAAGAACCTTCCTCCAAAAATAGCACCACGAAAAAACGTTCAGATAAAGTAAAATCAGAAATGAAGAGGCCAAGTAAGGTCCTTCCTGGGTGTTAACCAGGCATGTTTTTCCAAGCAGGAGAGTGAGTAAGCTATAGCCCTTCAAGTAGTCACTGGACCAAGATATCCTGTGACAAGAAAAGCTAGAGTAGGTCGCCCACACTTAGCAGGATTTACCAAAGCAGTTATGACTTAAGCACAGTAAATGCTCCCAATCATGAGGGCGCCTTTAATCCCAGCACTTAGAAGGCAGAGGCAGGTCAATCTCTGTGAGTTCAAGGACAGCCTGGTCTAGAGAGGGAGTTCCAGGACAGCCAGGGTTATGCAGAGAGCAGAGAAACCCTGTTTCAAAAAACAAAACAACAAATAGAAAGTATAGCTTATGGGGACTCTTAACCAACAAATCACAACCCTGACAAAACAAGAAGTAGGTTTCTTCCTACTTTTGCTTTTCATCCTTTTTTCCATCCAGTGCCAGTGATCAAACCCAGCACCTTGCTCATCCTAGGCAAGAACTCTACCAATGACTGACACAGACACATATATGTACACACACACACACACACACACACACACACACACACACACACGCACGCACACACACACACACACACATACACACACGGAAACAGATCAAAATCAATTTCAATAAGAGCCATTTATATACACTGATGGTAAATGAATGATCTTCTATGTCTACAACATTTGAAAAATTGAGTCTAAGCCCTAACATTTTATTAAATAATATAAGAAAGTCTACATACCTTTTCTTTCCCTATGCTGAAAACGTTTCCATAGACTCCATGTGGACATCCCCAGAGTTCTAAGTTTCTTTACTAATATATGTGCTTTCTGAACCACCCACTATGAGTTAGAGAAATCAGTCAGTGGGAAAATAAGTAAAAAAATGTTATGATCGACTGATTTCCCTTTGTCTGGATGCTAATTGCTACACTGATGTGTAGGTAGGTGCTTAGATGTTTAAATTTTCTTAATAAAACAAAGCATACTTAGGTATCAGTTTCTCTTGAACATGTACTATTTTGTTTCTTCCAGCTATAGCTCCTAAAGGATCAATATATATCTCCAGTTTGAAGATATCTAGTATAATTCTACGGTTTTACAAACAAATTGAACTCTGGCATTATGGTACTACAAACATGTTTACATTTCCCCCCCATGAAATAGATGATTTAAATGTACCCTCACCATGCCAAAAGGTGTTAAATTAAACACATGGCATTTGTCAAATAAACATGGGGAAAAAAAACAAAAACAAAAAACCTTTCTTTAAGAAGTTTAGCCTGGCTCCCTAAATACAAGAAAATAAACTGGATCCCTGACCTACCCATGACCCCACAGCTGGATAGTACAGGAACCAAAAGAGAACCTGGTTTTTCTTTCCTCAACTCCAAATCGTATTTGTTTTCTTTCCAACTGATTTAACGCCTCTTCAAAAGCTTTCCTATTGAAAGAGGGCACAACTAAGGTAAAACAGAAGACCCCTCTGAACTTTATCTGTGAATCTCAAGCGCTGGAAGAACTTAATGAGATACTGCACCATACCCTTTCATCTAGGAATGGCATATACTAAGCAGTCATCAAATGGTTAAGTGCTATTATTATCTTTTACCACAAAAGTAGGTAGTGAATTTTTTTTGGGGGGATGCACATATTAGCAGTGGGTGGAGGCCCCATTTGACAAGCCTTTTAAACTTCCGCTTAATTACCCTTATTTTGCACTGCAATTTTACACTGATTTATGACCCACCCACAATGACCTTGATTTTTTCCCCCTCCTGTACTTTTATGAACTGTTAGACTGCAATATTTTCAAGTAATAATCGACCAGGTCCTGTTAGCCCTGAAGATACAAACATCTTCCACTGACTCATAAGGGATCTTAAAATGTGACCCAAATACAGCTGGAGAAAGACCATAAATTTTAAACGATCACTGCAGTTAAAGTCCAGGTAGCGATTACAGAGCATGGTAACAAGTGCAAAGTGCTGCCATGCGAAAAGCCATTTTCTCAAAACCACCGGTGTGGCCGAGGGAGAGGAGAGAGAAGGTCAACGGAGGTGCGCGGTTTCTCCAGGGGATCCTCTGCAGCTCCGCACCGGCGACCTCGAAATGAATGAAACGCGCGGCCACACCGACAACCCGGCCCCGTAGGTGCAAGGAAGCCGGAATCCCGGGGAGAACTCGGCGGATTTCTCTCACCATCCCAGTCCATTCACCCGGCCCGGGAGCGGCCCGCGCGGCCTCCGGGTGGGGTGCTCCGCGGCTGGTGTAGGACCGCCCGCCGGCCCACACTCACCGCCGCCCGCTCCGCAGCTCTCCACTGGGCTCCCCGCGCCTCCGCCGCCCAGGCCGGGCCGCGCTCCCCTTCCGCTTCCGGGAGCCGCGGCGCCGGGACCGGCCGAGTGGGTGTCGGCATGCCCGCGCGCTCGCGCGGAGGCACGGCCGTCGTCGCCGTCTCAGCTTCGCGCCCCGGAGCTGGGATGGGAGCCGCCGAGGGCCGAAAGACCTGAAAGCGCTCCGCAGCCCGGCGGGCTTTTGCCTAAGCCTACCTGCGCCTCTCGGTCCTGCTGCCCAGGCCCTGCCAGGTGATCCGCCCATGTTCCCACGACCTCCCTGCATAGGAGCACCCTTAGCTTTAAGCGGTGTTCTCATCTTCCTTCTGTCAGGGGGACAGACCTTTCTCCCCAGCGACAAGTTACGGATTTCCATAGTACTTTGCTTCAAAATACAGTCTGCAACATTTGACATTGTCTTGGATCTTGTAGAGAATGCCTAGTCTCTCAGGCTTGCTCATTCTATACCTGAATTTTAATAGGATCTGCAGGTGACTCCTATCAGTACACCCCAAAGATAGAAAAGCATCCGAGTTCAATAGTATTACGAACTTTAGACCTAGCCAGCCAAGCTTTTTCCAATTCTTGTTGCAACTTAAATCCACATTCAAATAATCTTTGTATGTATTTCGGGAGATCTCTATAAAGTTGCCAGCTTTCCAAGCAGTGAAACCTAGAAAAAATTATTGGACTTTGCATTTCAAATAATCCATCTCCCAATCTAAATTGTCACCATCACAAACGCCTGAGATAATGTGACTAAAACATTTTGCACCTCACTCCAGCTCCTAATACAGCGCTGTAGGAAGCTTACACTGTTCACCGTATGTGGAGCTAGGCATGACCTGGAAGGAGATAAAGTGTGGCGTGGCGGGGAGAGAAATCGCCTGATGTAGGAAGTTTGTACTTCCTACAAGTTTTGAATGGTATCGAAAGCCTTCCAAATGGGATTGTTCCTGGTGGTACCAATTACTCAGGTCCTGGGATGACAGCTGTACTAACTCCAAACTTTCCTTCAACTAGCTTGCTGCGTCATTTCCAGTAGAATCCCTTTAATTTCATTCCCCTAAAATGACATCTCTCTTCTCTCAGGCTGAGGCAGGATAGAAAGACAGAGAAAACAAGAAACATGGGGAAAGAAAAAAAGAATCTCACCCTAAAAGTCAAGGTGGTAACTTAGGGCCAGAATGGCTGTGGCCTTGAATTCAACTGTTTTAGCACTACTCTCTCAACTCTAAATCTATAAACAATAACCCTCATAAAACCACCTTACAATCTTGTTTGCAAAAAGGGCATTCTTTTGTTTGTTTTCAAGACAAGTGTTTCTCTGTGTAGCTCTGTCTATCCTGGAGCTCTGTAGAGCAGGCTGGCCTTGACCATAGAAATCCCCCTGCCTCTGCCTTAAGGACATTCTTTAAGATAAGAAAAATAATAAGTAAATAATATCCTTTATTTTTTAAACTGTACTTAACTTTTAAAGTTTGCCTAATCTTTAAACCTTGCAAATTACATACTTTGAACAAATTAACTTAGAAAGCTGAAGAACTGTATACATGTAATACAAACATACATATATAAACATACATGTATATATCATAAGTACTCCTAGCATAACTGCCTCCCCCCTGCCACACACACACAAACACACACACACACACAATCATGTCTCAGGTGTATAGGATTGCCCTTCCCTCAAGCAGACTGGCTCCCTCTCTGTTGCTTGTGTTTCTCTCTCCTCTCTCTCCCATAATCCTACCCCACATGACTTAAATCTGAAATATGTGTTGTCCCTTATTGATACATAATAAATTCAATTTGCCCTGTTAGCATTCACGCATTTACACTGGCCAGCTCTAAGTCCTAGAAAAATACTTCCAGTTGCTGCCACTACGAAGAGCTCTCCCTGTGCTCATGGGCTATATTCATTATAAAAGGCAAGCCCCCTTCCTTCCCCCTCCCCTCTCTAGTCCCACAAGCCTCTCCTGTTGTCCTCTCCCTTCTCTTCCCCTCCCCTAATAAATCTCCCATGGGAGTTCTATTGTATGGTGTTACTTTCCTTGCCACAACTGCTAAACATTAACAACACTAACTAGTCCTTAATTCTTTTCAGAATTTAGTTCAGGATCTAGCTTTACCTTCATGGAGGCCTTCCAGTGACAATGTTGTGTTGTATGGCGAACTCAAGACCATCCTCCTGTCTCAGGCTCTTGAGGAATTACAGGAGTTTGACTCTATGTCTGTCTTTTGGACACCACACTATTCATGCTAACCAAACTGTGTGTGGGGAGGGGAATCATCTGGAACCCTGCCAACACAGATTTCACTTATGGAACTTGCTTGCACCCTCGTATTACCATGAGCTGCTAGGGATTTGAAAATGTGTTGGTTCTGATTGCAAATACATCATGGCCTTTAAGTCACAGATTAATTTTATTTTCATGGTGTGATCCCCAGGTGGCTCACCTGGAAACTTGTGAAAAATCATAGTTTTCAGCCATATCCCAATCTACCCTACTAGAAATTTTGGAGAAGTCTACAAACCTGTGTTCTAACAACCAGCCAGGTGATTCAAAACATACACTCAAGTCCTAGAATTGTTCAGCTAGACCATTGCATACTAAAGCTACATGCAAGTTTTATTCTGTTTCAAGTTAACAAGTTCCTCTTTCACACATAGCTATGGTGTTAGAAAGCTTGTCATAATTACTTTTAGAATAAGTAACTTTGGTTATCATCACCCATTTGAGATAGTGAGATTTTTGTTACTTGGTTTCTTTGAATAGGGAAAAATGAAAAAGGTAAGGAGAAACTTTGAAGGAAAACACTTTGAATGAATTCCCCAAACCCAGTGACCTGCATTATACATTGTTTTGATGTCTCTTCAGACATCTCTGTGAAGGGGAACCATCTGTGTCAAATGATCTCAACAAGTGCCCAAAATAATTAGTTGAGACATGAGTGCACATGAAAAATGGAAGTATACACATTTTTTATGCCTGTTTTATAAATTAAACTTTCTCCTATCAGTCAAGTCAATTCCACAGAATGTTTTCTAGAAAAAGCATGGAAGGAGGCCAGTAGCCAGAAAAATATCCTCACTACTGTGAACTGCTTTAGCAAAGAGAAATTAAAAGATATAGACAAAGGACCACCTCCCTCATGAGGTTGCATGATCTCGTTCCATGATTCATGTTAAGCATTGATTGTATTGATTGACACATGTCACAGTGGGCACACAGAAGAAATATGGCATCAGGAGCAGATACTTGCCAGAAGAGGATTCGGTTGCTACTGTTGCTTTTCTTACTGTTTTGTTCCTGTCATGGTGGGGATCAAACCTGGGGTCTCAAAAATGCCAGGTAAGAACTTGACCAATGAAGTACACCCCCAACTCAAGAACTTTTCCACTTAAATTATGCATGGAAATATGTCACACACCATATTTCCCTCCAGAATTCTGCTGTACTTGATGGATCTGCGACGCTGAAGCATGATTACTAATCAACCTGATTGTATCTGCGAGTTAAAAAAAAAAAAAAAAAAAAAACATAGACAGGGAAAGTGACAGAGCTGCCACTGCCAACGTAGTGTCTGACAAAATCGCGGGCAGAGCCCTTGTGTAGATAAGCTCCGCCAACCGCTGTGCATCTATGCCAATACAGGGAGGACTGGATTTGACTGCAATTTCCAAAAGTCGGTTCAGTCCAGAGTTTAATCAGCACTGGCTAATAGCCCTTGGCAGCTTTGGGTGGATGGCGTTCTCCACCTGCCCAGCTGGGTACCATGCCCTAAGCACCCACATTTGATGCACATTCATGATTTCTTGGTTGCTCTAGTCACCACCTCCATCTGTGTGAGTGGCAGGGTGCCCATTCCAGAACAGACTAATAATCTAAAAGTCGTTCTTAACCTTTTTTGAGTAGTACATCTCTTTGAACATACGATGGGAGTTGTAGAACCCCTCCTCAGAAAAATACACACACACGTGCTCGCACGTGTGTGTACACTTATTTTATATATTTATGTATAAAGTTCTACATATTGCCCCACTTTCCCACATTTCAAGAAGCTCACAAGGAAGTTATGAACATCAGGTTAAAAACTTGCGCTAGGATGTTAAAAGTAGATTAAAGACAGTTTTAAACTTCAAATAGCTAGGGAAACTCTGAAGAAGCCACTGGGTCCTAAGCAAACACAAGCTAAATGCTGCTGTTGCTGAGAAGCTAGGAGTCTCAATGGGGTGGCCCCAGGGGTGGCCTCACAGAGAAGCAAGAGAGAGCAGGACTTGGGGTTTAGGGTTTGAAGTAGGGTCCCAATTTCCCGAGGAAGGAAATGTGACTGGGTGAACACATAAAAACGAAAGGGCCCTGTGGTGTGGATTAAGTGTATAACAGATAGACAGAGATGAGAAAGGAATGAAACAGTCAAATCATGATGAACCACAAAACCACTGCCTAAAGACAAGGGCCATTTCCAGCTCCAAGCCAGAAAAGACTGTTACTGTAGGCACCATTGTCAAAAAGCAGAGGGGCACATTGTTTGGAAAGATTTTGATATTCTAAATTGAACCTGGAATTTGGTTGCTGCTTGGTCTGGGTGTTTTGACTACATTAACTAAATATTACCTTGAGATTCTTACATTTTTGATAAATGTCAAAGAGAAATATATTATGATAGGTGTTCCTATGAATTTAGATTCCAGGACACTAAGCAAGTTAAAATCTGTTTGAGATAGAAAGAATGAAAATCAACTAGAAAGAGAAATCAGCATGACACGCACCATGCTGGAAAGACAGACAGACAGACCAAGCTGCAAAGAGTAGAATGCAGCATCATTGCTGCTGGGATTATAGGGCAGTTAAACTATACCATAATGAGACCCTCTGATACAACTTCTTGTCATGCAAGCCTTGAACTGCTGGCTGTTTTCATATATCACTTCTGATATGCAATTGCATGACCATTTTTGCCGCCTGTCATCACGCAATACCTGGTTAATTCCCTCCTCCTAACCCCTCCTCCAAATACCAACCAATCCCAAAGTGTCCCCTGCTTCCTTAGATTCAACTACAGGTTTCTCAATAGAAGTCCACCTTCTAAGCCCACTTGCAGTCCCTCATCCCTCTGAC